TTTCTCCTTCTCTCGGGGACGCGAGCTGGCCCCCTCGCCAGTCCACGCCCAGCCCAGATCTCGGCCATGGGGTTCTGATGTTCCAGCCTACGTTGGCCTGGATGACCAGACAGGATGTCGAGCACCAGGAAAGTATTCCAGATTTTGTAATACAAAGGGAGGGGGTCTGGACCCTCCAAGACAAGCCATTTCAGACCTCCCCCGTGGGAGAACCCTCCAAAACATCGTCCCCAGACCCCCCAGGCCCTCCAAGATAGCCTGGAAGAGACCCCCCCCGAAATGAGACCCCCCTCCCTTTATTACGAACTCTGGAGTACCCCAAGTGGAGGGATTTTACGTGTCGGGCCCTGGGAGGCGATGCTCACTCGATGCGTCGCTAGCGTCGGGCAGGCGTTGTTGCGATACCTTTCCGTGTGCTCGGAATTATTAGGAAGGCCTAGCGGCCTGTGCCGCCGATTCTGAAGGGGGACGGCGACGACGACGTCGGCGGCGGCAGCGGCGACGACGACGACGCTGACGTTCTGGAGCCCTTCTTGGGGCTCTCTTGGGATCCCCCTGGGCTCTGTTGGGGCTCGGTCTGTCTGGGTGCTTAGAACTATTTTTGGGATGCGGTCCTGACGTGCGACGGGAGCAGCGTGAGCCCCGGGAGTGGCGTGCAAGTGCAGGAGGAGGAGGAGGAGGAGGAGGAGGAGGAGGAGGAGGAGGAGGAGGCGGAGGAGGAGGAGGAGGAGAGGAGAGGAGGAGGAGGGGGGGAGGAGGAGGCAGGGGGGGAGGAGGCGGAGGAGGAGGAGGAGGAGGAGGAGGAGGAGGAGGACGGGAGGTCCTCAAGTGCGATGGGAGCCACGTGGGCCCCGGGAGCGGCGTGCAAAGTGCAGGCCCTCCCGGCGCTTGGCCAGGGAGGCCCGCATAAAATCACGCCGACTGCTGCGCCCAGGACGGGAGTCGCGCGCACCGCTGCCTCGAGTTTACACTCAGGTCGGGCCTGTCCCTCTACAGGATGAGTCTCCTAAAATAGACAAAAGTCTGGGGATGGTCTTGTGTTCGTGGCAATTTTTGATTATTTTGACTATGCCTTAGTTGTCGCCCCAAATCTGCCTGTAGGAGGACATGACCGACCTAAGTTTACAGTGGATGCCCATGCCAAGACACCCTGCTTGCCTCCAGGGTGCCCTGGGTTTCTTGGGTGTCGATTCGGCGTCGCCCCAACACACTGATACTGTATGTGCGTCGCCCCCTCCCCCCCCCCCGGGAAGACGCGCGCACCGAGAAACCTCATAGTATCTGCGTCGTGGCGGGTGCTTTCTGGCCACGCTGCTCGGGAAACGATCTACTACCTGATGGGTATACTATATGTTCGTGTTGGACGCGCGCCTCCTAGGATGGCACATCTTATTGGTATGTATCTGTTCATCCCATGGGGTGTCGATGGGTTTGCTACGGGAGGCGTGACGTTCCCAAACCGAAAATCAATGGACGTCCTGGGGTCTCAGGGTTTGGTATCTGGTGGAAGGTTCTTTTGGTTCAGCTCCTGCTGCAGGTGATCGACTACAGAATTGGTCTACCCAAGAACGGATTCTTACTCCGAGCCTTCGGACAACATGCAGAATGTTCTGTAGATCCAACGGACACATTTCGTGTGTTCGTAGCTTCGACCAAATAATCAGACTTGGTTATCTCAATGTTTTTTCTTTCTCCAAGTGTACGACAATGCTGCTGAATCTTTCGTAGATCCTACGGAACAGTCTACGTGTTTTCGTGGATTCGACCAGGGAGTCAATTTTGGTGTGAGCCGATTATGTCGTCGATCCCCTGCTCGAAGTTCTGAGCCCAGGGCGCGTCCGGCCAGGATCGGTGGGGCAGTCAGTTGGCATCTTCCGATCCTCGTCCTTCTCCTCTTCCCCCACGTCACTGCGCGCCCTCCACCCGCCCCCTCCCTCTGCCCCCCTTCCTTCCTGGCCTCGCCCCCCGCGCCGTCCTCCACGCCCCCCACAGGGCCCACAGTCGAGCCGATCGCTCCGGCTCGATCTCGGCTCTGGCCGGCCCGATTCGGTCCGATGCCCAGATCCTCGGGCGAGGCGGTGCGGCCCGATGCCTGCCTGGCGCCGACTCGAGTCGCTTCGATGCCGAGCCGGCGCGGCCCGCGCCGATGCGCGCCCCGCCTCGATGCGACGTGCCGATGCCGTGCGGACGGTTCCCGCCTCCTCTCTCTCTCTCTCTCTCGCCCCCGCTGCCACCGCCTCCTCGCCGCCGCCCTCGCCCTCGGCTCGGCCGCCGCCGCCGTGGCCGCCGCCGTCCTCGCCGCCGCCGCCCGGCCGACGCTCGGCTCCGCCCGGAGGCGCCCCGGAGGCGACCCCGCAGGGGAGGCCGCCCACCCGGGAGGGGGGGCGGCCCTTCGAGGGGAGGCGAGCCCCCCGCGGGGATATGCGAGCCTCCGGCGAAGGGGAGGCCCGGGCCGCCCCCGAGGGGGGAGGCGAGGCCCCCCCGACGGAGAGGAGGGGAGCCCCGTGGCCAAGGCGCCCGCGGCGCGGCCGCCGCCGGCGGACGCGCTGGGCCTGGGGCCGCTGGCGCCGCTCCCGCCGCTGCCGGGGCAGCTGCCGCCGCTGCCGGGGCAGGCGGCCGCCGCCGTCGCCAACGCCGTCGCCGTCGCTCACCACCCAGCAAACCACCCCAACCCAACCCGAAGGCTCAGATTTACCCTCGATTTCCAGTTGGGGGGGGGTCGGGAAACATCGAAAAAACACGTGCGGAACCCTTGCCCCCCCAACCCGAAATTCGGGTCTTCGGGTTGGGTTGGGGTGGTCTGGTAGGTAGTCATCGCCGTCGCCGTCGCCGTCGCCGTCGCCGTCGCGCCCGCGCCAGGCCCGCTGCTGGCGCACAGTCGCGTGGCCCTAATTACGGGCAGCAGGGGGATGGCGGGGGAGTCTTCGTGCGCAAGGTTCGGGGGGAAGGGCTCTCAGGGGCGGATGCATCGACCCCCAATCGCCCATTCATCGCCGCTGGGGGTCTGATTGCCCACCCCGCCCAGGAACGTGCGGATTCGCTCTCTGGGCCCTACCGCCGATCTATCGTCGATGTGTCACCGCTTTAAGGTCGATGTTTCCCCACCCTGAGCTGGTACCCCCTATCGTTGACCCTCACCAGCGTATCCGTATTCTGCGACCACTTGCGAACCCCACCCTTGCGGGTCCAATCGGCGCTGGTGTGGTTATCGGGTTCCTTTGCTGGGTTTCACTTGGCTGCAGACATCCTTCAAGGTCTGATTACCAGTCGGTTTTCCAGAAGTCTGACCTGCAGGGGTGGGGTTCCGCATCTGGTTTCCTAGATGTTCCAGGCCGCCCGAATCTGGGCACAAAGCGCACCCTCACCCCAGGGGTGGGGTGCTCTTTTGCCTGCACACGGGATCGAGGCAGGCGGGGTCGGTGGATCGCGCTCCTTGCCGCGCGTCGGCGACGCGCCCCGATGTGAAGAAGCCTGGTTTTCTCCACGCCGACGTCGCCGCGGCATCGGCGATGCGGCACGGCGTCATCCGACACCCCTCCTGGGCGGCGGCCACAGATGAGCCACGGGACGAAAGACGGGGTCGTCTGCACCGACGTTGGAGCATAAGCTTCCCGCGTGTCAGCGCCCTTGTTTCCAGTGTAGCGTGCAACAATGGCGGCCAGCGGAGGCCGCCGCGTAAGGTGGTGGCCAAGACCAGGTTTTGATTGCCTGCTCGTCTGATGCCGACTAAACGTAAGAGTGACCCTTCGCCGGAGTGACCTTGAGTGTGGGCTCACCAGGGTCCCCTTCCATCGCTGAGCGCGATACGACAATGGCTGCCTGCGTGCTTGGATCTGGCGACCTTGCGCCCCCTTGGTCCGCGCACGTAAGGTCTTGGTGGGTTCGTGCGGCTGCGGCGCCGCAGGGACGCTGGCGAAGGCGTTCAGGGTTGACACGGTAACGCTCTGCACGAACGAAATGGGCACGGAAAGAATAGGCACAATGCCCAACAGCAGTTCCTGTTCATTTTGAACAGGACTCGCTGTCCGCGCCGCCGCGGCCTGTGTCCATTCGAGACAGAAGGCCGCCTGCCCAGCAGCAGCCGCTGTTGGTTTGGAACAACATTTGTTGTTAGGCATTGTGCCCATTTT